CTGCCTCTGCCTCCCTAGTGCTGGGATTAAAGGCGTGTGCCACCACCAATGCCCGGCGAGGCATGCTTCTTACCTCTACCTTCTACCACTTCTACTGTGCTTCCTGCCTTACCCTCTGACACTGAGGTCCCTGCCCTCACCTCTGATGACAGTCACCTGGGGTGGTCCCAACCACATTGGCCACACGTGTTGTTCCTAAACTGCCCCCATCATTAGTGCTGGTCCTGTTGGCTGCATATCTTCTGTGTGCTCTCCTCCTCCAAATTACTCCCATCTGCTTTCTGTCTCTCCTAGAAGCCTCAAAATGTCTAGCCCACTGCTTCTCATTTTCTAATGTGGCTTGGGACTTATTTTTAGCTTTGAATTTTCTAGGATATGGTGGGAGGTGGGAGGGATGGGAGCATGTTCCTGCTAGACACCTTAGCCCGGTCTTCATATTATGTGTTCTGCCCCCCTCTCCACCTCTGCTATCCCTGCTCAGGTCTCTTTTCTCTTACCTCCTGTAGCCGGTCATTGTCCTGCTGAGCCACACCCCAGCCCCTCACTGGGGGATTCTAGGCAGGGGCTCTACCACTGAGTCACACCCCAGCCTCTCACTGGGGGATTCTAGACAGAGGCTCTACGACTGCCACCCCTTAGCTCTTCACTGAGGGATTCTAATAGCACAATGCTGAGCCCACTCCCTCACTGGTTTTCTAGCCAAGTACCCTGCTACCGAGTGGCCCTGGCCTCCAGAGGAACTGATACAACAGACCTGTGCCCTCTTGGACACTTCTAATTGTACAGGGTTTTCTTGTGTACAGTGCTTGTGTCTCTTTCATCCTTGCTGGCCCACATTTCTCCTTCTGTACTGATGCTGTCCCTTGATGGCTGACATAACTGCTGCTAATGGATTGATCTTCCAATGCTTAGCTGGTAGCCTTTCCTAGAATTGACCCTGCTCTGTTCCTATACCTCCTTGTGCTCATCAGATGTTTGGACCCCTTTCCCTGTGTTTTGGTACTGTAAGCATGCCCTTGTCTGTCATCTCCACTAGAGTGACCTTTTGCAGCAAGGTGAGACTGATTCTCCTTCATGGAATCCACAGGTCACTGACTGAGATGATAACAGGGCTTAGGGCCAAGGTTCTCTCCCTTCCCCTCAGCCCTGACACAGGGTCTCTGATAGTTCATATTGTCAACTTGGCAGGGTCTGGAATCACCATGGAAACAAAACTGTGGATGCATCTGTGAGGGAGTTTATAGACTGGATTCATTCAGGTGAGAGTGTGGGCAGGACCCTGAGGTAGCTGCTCACACCGTCTTTACAGTCAGGGAACAGGGAGAGGCAGATGCCAGCAGTCAGCTTGCTTTCTCTGTCCCTGATCCCAGACCACTGGATGGCGCCGTCCATATTCAGAGTGGACCTCAATTACACTTCTCTGATTAGGTCTTACAGATACGCCCAGGGGTGTGTTTTCTAAATGATTCTAAAGATTAACCACCACAGGCCAGATACACAGTTCAATGTAAACTGCATTCATCTGGGCTACTGCACACGCCTTTCATTTCAGCTTGGGGAGGCGGTGACAGTGGATCTAAGTGAGTTGGAGGCCAGCCTGATCTACATAACAAGTTCCAGACCAGCTAGGGCTACACAGTAAGACTGTGTCTTGCTGTGGAGGGTGGGAGTGGGGATAAACTCAGGATTTGAAGAAAAGAGAATGAAGTAGAATAGATAAAAAGACCAATGGTTAGATATTGAGTTATTTATTTAGTGGTTTACTGAAAGCACTGCTTGTACTGCAGAGTTGCCAAACATGGCTTCACTTACTACCTGAAACAGAATGACCTGCAGAAATAGCTAATACAATGGGTCGTGGCCTTTCACAACCTGCTGATGGCCATGTGTGCTTCTGTAAAATCTCACTTGCCTGCCCCACCTTGTGGTTTTAGGGTATAATATGAGAATACAAACTGGACCAGGGATAGAAGCCTTTCAAGAGCTGTCCTGGCTTCCATCCACTGCTGTTGGGGACTCCATAAGCCTCACAGCTGTCAGGGAGATGAAGAACAAAACTCAAGTCAGTACCATCTTTGCAGGCACTGGATCAAAACTTCCAGAGTCACAAAGCTTTAGGCATAGTTACATAGAAACTCTCTAGCAAAGTAGCAAAGCGCCTGTGACCATCACAATAAGAATGAGTTCTATTGGCTGGTAAATGAGCTCAGCTATAGGGCCCAGAGAGGGAGGGCTTAAAGTAAGGGTAAGGATGGGATCTATTGATGTAGGATGTAAAGTGCATGGGACCCCTTTCATAAGGATGGGTTCTACTCACTGAAAGACAAAGATCAGGGTTAGAGCCTAAATGATGCTCAGGATACAGGGTGGTGGTTGGGGGGGGGGTGCTGGCAGGGATTCCAAATGGAGACTGGCTCCTGATAGACTAGCAAACGATCTCCAGGTTCTCCAGGTGGTTTGATCACTTTCACTCTGGCATTCCAGGTGACCAGGCATCATTCATTTTTCTTTGAGGTCAATAGGCTCATGTGATTGATAGTCCTGGTTTCTCCAATGCTTACTCTAAGCCATGCTTCCTACACACTGGTGCCATCTCCTCTCTTCATCTCCTCTCATTGGTATTAGAGTGCCTTTTTCTGGACAGAGTCCTGCAACAGGCGGATCTGGTCCAGGCTGGATGACGATGATTAATATTGCTTGTCAAGTTGACAGAGTCCAGAATCACCTGGGAGCCCTAGCTCTGAGTATGTTTCTAGAC